GGTCTGGGCCTCCCTTCTGAAGCTGCTGCCCCCGCGACCCGACCCCGGACAGGCGGAAGAAAATAGATGGATGGATGTATGTTGAGAAACATTTTTTCTTAAACTGTTGCTCACGCAGTTGTTCACAAAGTGAGGAACCTCGCCACATCCTTGCCTGTTAACGACCGAGCCTTTCGGCTGTGCTCCTTTTTTTACCCATTCATGACATTCACTTGTTTCCAATGAACCTGTTCACCTGTGGAATGCTCCAAACAGTTGGTTTTTGAGCATTCCACAACTTTCCCAGTATTTTGCTGTCTCTGTCCCAGCTTTTTGGAACATGTTACAGGCACCAAATTCACAATGAGTAAATATTTGCAAAAAAAAAAAAAAAAAAACCCAAAGTTTATCTATTTGAACATTATCTTGTCTTTGAATATTCTGTTGAATATGGTTTCAAAAGGATTTGCAAATTATCCTATTCTGTTTTTCTTCATATTTTGCAAAATGTCCCGACTTCATTGGAATTGTACAAGCTTGAAAAAAACTTGAAATAATTAATTAAATTTTCCAGCCAAAATGAAGGTTAAAATGACTAATATGTTGCATTAAAGCTACTAAAAGTATTTTAATGAGTAGTGAGTAAAAAAACATTATAGAATCATGAATTAGGAATGAATCGTGAATTATTGGTCAAAGCTTATTACTAATAGACAACTTATCAAATGAAACAAAGTGTTTTTTTTTCTTTTTTATGAATACTGTTTTTTCTTTTGACTTAGATGCAAGAAACATTTCAAAACATTACCGAGGCAAAAAGAAAAAAAAAATTAAGAAAAATTAAAAATAGCAACTGAGAAATTTGATGGTGTAGACAAGAATCTCAAACCTTATTAGAAAAATTGCCAACAGGTCATTAACATAACTGGTAAAAGTTAGTAAAAGGTGTAAATAGAGCATCTCAAAGAAGTTTTCTGAAGGTAAAATGGTGAAAGATTATATGATTTAACTCTGAAAGATGCAGGAAAAAAACAGACAACATCTGGCTTTACGTTAACATGTGATGTAAAGGTCATAAAAACACAATAAGTCCGTTTTTCATGTGATTTTACAAACCTTTTTTTAGGTCTCAAAAGCCCAGAATGCTTTGAAAAGTGTTAAGTTTGTTCAAAGAAGAGCTGATGAAACGCAGAGGGAAATATTCCCTTTTCCCCAGCTTTTTGGAAAACATTGCACTGGCTTCAAATCAAAACAGACATGCTTTCCAAACAATTTTTTTTAATATTTTGTCTTTCTGCTATTTCCAATGAAATACAAACCTTCAAAGGCTGACAGAAATGGAAGAATTGTTTTTTTTATGGCCTTTGCTGTTGACAAAGTTTCCAACATGTAATTGATTAAATTTTGGGCAAACGTTACAAGATTAAAATACATCACAAAACAGTTAAAGAAGGAATAAAAGAAAATTAAACACTTGAACTGAAACCACAACTAAGCTTTTTCTAATCAAGCTTCTCCAACATCATCTTTAAAAGCTGACAGTTTTGATTTGTCTAAATTCAATGATAAAAGAGGAAAATGTTATATTTTGTTTAGTTAGTTTTGTGAGTTATCAGTTATTTTCCCTCAGTCATGTAACCGTTCTCACCTGCTTCCCATGTTCATTAGTCTCAGCTGTCTTCACTCGTTATCGCTCCTCTCAGCCTACTTAAACACCCCGTTTTTATCTTCTCCTCAGTCTGTCGTCCTGTTTAACTGCCTGTTTGCCTCGAATGAAGATTAGACATTGTTGCATTTTGTTTGCTGCTCGGTGAGTTTTCTGTTTTTGTAAATAAAATATTTACATTTGTGAAACCAGTGTTCCTGGAATCTGCATCCTATGGTCCTTCCTGAACCTAAAGCTGCCAGTTTGATTAAAAGTCATCCAGTGGTTCATGAGGTAGATTGAGAAAACTATTATATTAAAATGTTATAATTATTCTGGATGACACCAGGGTCACAAGCAATGCTCTGTTTACATGCTGTCATCACTTCCTGTTTCTGCACATGCAAATATATCGACTGTTTATCTCAGTGGCATGAGGGTTTTTTTTTGCAAGATGTTCTAAATGTTGTCTTTTCAAAAATGCATTCACATTTATTACAAAAATTTGATGTCACAGACACTTTAAGTTCACAGTTAGTCAAGATGTAGTATTGCAGCAACATCAGTCAGTATTTTTTTTTTCTAGTTTGAGTTTATATTTGAAGTGCAGACAGCTTGGCTACATCACAAAAGCAACAGACAATATGACCCACTGAAAGTTAAATAAAAGGCTTCATGGCTGTTTGTTGTTCTAATCCCAGACTGGATAAATAAAATCAAGCAGCAGCCAGGAGGATAAAAACCCGAGCTGCTATCTTCTGTTACGAACTCAATTCATTTGTGAATTCATTTGCTCTGCTTTATCCAAACAGACAAGTTGCTACAAGGTTTCTTTGGGATTATATTGCCCCCCCACCCTTCTGAAAAACAAACCAAATCTCTGATCAGTCAATTAGAGAAAACTGGTAACAAAGGTGAATCTGAGTGCTCATTTAAATACACAACTCCTAATTAAAACTTTAAAATCCCTTAAAGGAAAGCACATCACCTAATAATTTAGTCAAGCTTTCAAAATGATGTTGTGCATGAGTTTATGCAATTTGCAAGATGTGTTGAGAGTGACTCTCATCCATGAACATGCCGAAGTTTAGCTCATTATCTTTAAAATTGATTGAGTTTTAGTTATTTTTGTGTTGATTAACGTCGATTAGCCGTAGCTGTCTTCAAATGTAAATGAGTTGTAAATGTGCAACTAATGATTGCTTTCTGTGACTTTCATTAAAATCCATGCTGTGGCTCAAGAGATATTTTGCTAACAGACAAACAGGGTTGACTCCATTAGCACATATTAGCTCAGTATCTATATATAGCAACTTCTGCGTTTTAACCATTGTGTTTTCTAAGGTGGATGTAGCGGCCATCTTGAAAACTTAATCAGAGCAATCAAAGCGAAAACATTACCCGCCGTTTGTTTTAATATCAACATCCAGTAAGCAGCGCAGCAACGGCATTTTCCATCATAGTTGAAATTGTGCACGCAAATTKAATTACTCACATGGAAAGCTGTCAGGATGGAAAAACGGCTCACACTGCCTTTAACCTTAAGTGTTCCACTTCCACATCCTCTCATGATCCACTTGACATTCTTTTTTCCTTTTTTTTTACAAGAGGTGATGGATGACTTAACCCAGAACGGTGCTCTTTGCTGGAGCTGACCTAGATTGAACTGTATGTGTTAAATGTGTGTGTCCTGCAGAGTTGTAGGAAATACACACAAGGATTTCTTTTTTTTTTTTTTTGTCTCTTTGTGCTCTTTTTTTTTTTTTTTTCAAAAAAATATGAAAAAAATAAAATTTTTTTTTTTTTTTTTTTTTTGTCTCTTTGTGCTTTACTGAGTTCAGCACAAGAGAGGAAAAAAGTTGTGTGTGTGTGTGGTCGTGCTTGTGTGTGACTGACAGAAGTGATGTATACATAGGACACAGCATCACTTCATCTGACTCGGTCTCTGTGACTCGGGGCTGTGAATACTCGCGACTTTCTGCAGGATTAATGTCAAATGGAACAGAAACACAAAGCTAATCCTCTCAGCTCTTGTTCTAAGATACAAAGTAGCTTTTCATCAAAAAATAATCACTTTCTTGGATGTTTTTTTTAACCACGCTGGGTAGCTCAGCCAAAGTTTCAGACTAGATTGGAGTAGTTTCGCTCCCACCCACGAGGTTTTTAAGAGACACTTCACGGCCTCTCACGGCACCAGTTTGATTTATTTTGTCATATCTGAGCCGTGTCGGCTAACGTTTTTAGAGCAACAAGGGGCACGTTTCTTCACTTAAGGTGCTTGATTGTGTGACTTCAGAAGGAACCTGTCTCACTCTTTGCCAATTTTTGTCAAATTTCCAGAATCACCCAGCATCGCTGAAGCTCCTGGTTGAAGCGAAAGGTGAGCGGCTGCTCCTGGCTGTAGAGAAGAACCAGTAAGTGTCTCATCATTCGCCGTACCTTCTAATAATAATGATAAAACATTTTATTTATGGGTGCCTTTCAAATGGAAYACGCTACATTAAAAACAAGCAAACGCTGCGATAAAACAGACTGGTGCTACAGTTAAAGGAGACCCATCTTGCTTTTAAATCCTTCTTTTTTACATTTAAATCATTTAGTTGGGGTCTGTATAAAGTGGAACTGCAATGCCTTGGTCTGACTGGGTAAAGGCAGTTGGGAAGAGGTGTAGAACAGATTGCTAATTTTACAAACATTATTTTAGTCATAAATTGAGACCAGAATCTAGGTGCGCAACATTTGAATGCCATACATATTAGGGGTGTAAGAAAATATCGATACACTGAAATATCACGATATTTCATTTCCCGATACTGTATCGATATTCTAAAGCCCTGTATCGATTTTTTTATTGAGGTTTAAAACGTCAACCTTCTTGCCAACCATTCATTTTTATGCTGTAGTTCAGCCTCTGGCCATTAGTTGGCAGCAGTGAGCCAGTCATTTGGCTCCTCTACCTCTTGAGCGCCAGAGAGTAAGAGAGCATTAGCATTGTAAGTAAACATTAGCTTTTCTTTTTTTTTCAGTAAGAGGTTTTTATTTAATAGAATTTTTGGACAAAAAAATGGCAATATATTGCAATATATTGCCTTGCTTACAGTATTGCAATATATCAGGATATATCGTATCGAGACCCCTCTGTTATGATATGTATCGTATCGCCAAATTCTTGCCAATACACAGCCCTAMTACATATGTAGGRATGTGTAACAATTTGGCTCAATTAAAAAGCCTTGCTATTTTAATATTAAAGGGGCAAAATCATGTAAAATCAACTTTTTTGAGTTTTATATCATATTATAATGTTATACTCTCATAAAAAACATACCCAAAGCCTTGCTTTGACTCATTCATGCATGTTTGAGAAATCCTGCAGCGTTTTTAGGAAGCCACGCTGAGGAGCAAAACGACAGGTGGGGACCAGAAACGCCCCTGGAATGTGTCTTTAAGCCGAGCTTCCTCATGCCACCCCCCCCCCCCCCACCACACACACACACACACACACACACACACACACACACACACACACACACACACACACACACACACACACCCTGCCCATGACTCCTGCAGGCTCTCGGGTGAAACTGAAAGTGAAACCTAACTGTCTGCTGAGCTCTCAACATTAGTTCTCACTCAGTGAAGCTCTTTTCAGATTAAAAATACCTTTAAGAAAATGTATTTTCAGATGCCAAGTAAACTGCATCATAGCGCACACACACTGTCACACCGTGACAGTTCAAATTTTCTGCACAACAAAATGCATTTAACGTCTAAAAAAGTGGATTTTGTGTGATATGTCTCCTTTAAARGGATGCCTGTACCTATACTGAAATCTATTTTTCTGTTAACACATGAGTGACTATTGTTCTGTTTTTAGTTATTAGTTATTTAGTTGTAAAAATCTTCAAAGTCTTAAAAGAGAAAGTTAAATTAGTAAAAAATAAAGTTGAAAATATTCTGTTTAAAACTTGGGCTGGTGAGCTTATACTTTCTGGAGCACAAACAGGTGCAGGTATGAGGTGCCCAGAGGCTACCGCTGTAGTCAAGATAAAGCGAGGGGAAAAGAGTTTTTTCCTCTTTGCGCTGTGAGTGTGGGCATGGCAGTGCTCTCTGTGCTTTAGTCTGTTTTTTTTTTTCCTGTATGTGCTGAAACAAAGACTTGAAAGACAGAAATTCCTGAATACATCAGYGAGACATTGATAAAAACCGACATCTTCCTCCTCCTTCTCACCCTGTCTTTTCATTTGATCTGCCAGCAAACCACTGGGGAGAAGGAGGGTTTTCTTTGAACACAGAAGCCTCTCAGCACTCTGTGTATTAAGACAACCCAGTGTTAGTCGAGGGACTGGCACGAAGGGGCGAGCATCATTTGAAAGAGATCAGGTCATCGACGCAGTTTGTTACAGTCGATGTGTTTTGGGATGAATATTTGTCATCCTTGCATTTTTACACAGTTCGGCGGGGCCTCGGTCTCAGTCGGTCTCGGGAGTCGAGTGTGCGCCTGAGAAGAATGGGACGTGATTGATGGAGCAATATGTTTTCCATCCAGCTCTGCCGCCACACATGAGCAGCCACGAACAAGCAGAGCTGTCTGTGTGATGGAGAGAGGAAGGAGGGAGGGAAGCAAACGGAGGGGAGAGCGAATGGCTTTTTCATGCCACTGTCAGCCATGAATCTCACTTGTTTTCGCAGACTTAATGTATGTAAATTCCACCTGCAAAACTGTGGGACAAAAGCTTTCAACACCAGCAACGGCAATTTTATGGCTTACCTACCCTGGAAATATTTTCACTGGAAATCATATTCTCTCTGGTGAAGGTTYGTGCTCTGCACAGGTGGGGATTTAGCAAAGCTGACTTGCAGATTGTAATAGAAAAACACCTTACGCTCACCCAGATGATTCTCACGCAGCCTGGGTACCGTCATCGTCCCCGAGCATTAACTTTTAAAGTCGTCAGTTGAGCTCAAATCGACAGCCGGGAGGAGCAAATTGAATTGTCATCACTGTCAACACTTGCAGCAGGTCTTGAAATTAAAGGCCTAACATTTCTTGAAGGGATGAATTAAAGAGTGGGGTGGGGAGTATGATGCAAAATCTACTTTTTTCATCTTTATCTCATGTTATAACGTCATTGCCTCATCACAAACATACCCAGAGTGTTGCTTTGACTCATTCATGCAGGTTTGAGAAATCTTTGAATCTCCGGTGGTAGTCATGAGATGCTGCCTTAACCCSTGCTGGTACAAAGCTCCGCCCATTTACACAAAGCTCCTCGCTGAAAATCAGAGTGTCATAAATGATAGGAGGTTCTTAAAGAGACAGAGGACAATTTCCAGGCGTTTAGATAGATGATGCAAAGTCATTAATTTTTTATTTAAACAGCATTTTTATAACCAAAGGTAACGTAGTTACTTGACTGTAGTATACAGTAGATTTAAACTATGTGCCTGGAAAATGCATAATAACACCCCCACACACCCACCTCCCAATTTAAATCAGATCTTTTGCTGCAAAGTTACCAAATCAAACTTTATCTCAGTATCTGTCAATCTGACTGAGTTATCGCCACTTTTGTTTTTCCCAAAGTCAGTTAGCCTTGGCAGCCATATTGAACTGGGTTGACTCCCACAAGTAATCAGTGGTAGAAGTACATCCAATGATTACCTCCTGAAAGTTTTACTAAAATCTGCCAATTGGTTCACGAGATATTTTGCTAACAGACTTACAGATTTCACTCCAGCAGTTAATAGCAAAGGTTTTAAAACAAATCTTGTGCGACCAATTAGAGCTTGCAGTATATGTTGAGAATGAAGCTTAGCTACTCCCACACCAGATWTGATCTTAACATTTGTCAATTTAACTGAGTTATCGCCATTTTTGTTTTTGCTAAAGTGGCTTAATTGTTGTGGCCATCTTAAATAAGGTTGACTCCAATGGTCAATCAGTTGTAGAGGGACATCCATTAATTAATTTCTGAGAATTTCATTAAAAATTTCCGACTGGTTCTCGGGATATTTTACTAACAGACAGAAACACACTCACGTGCACACAGCTTCGGCAGCAGGCAATAAAAGGTTTAAATACTGGCAAACAGCTTAAAATAATACATCTGCAGGGCTCAAACTATTTTATGTACTCAGCAAAATGAAACACTTTAAGGACATGGATTGAGAGCGGATGGATCTGGATCAGTGTAAAACTGTTACTGAACCTGCTGGGCTGACATTTGGCGAAGGCACTGTCTGTTCCTGAAAGACTGCTGCTGATGAAATCCAGTTGTTCAAACACAGTTGGCATCTGCAGAGAAGAGAAGAGGGGGGAAAAAGTGGCTTTAAAATGAAACGATGCGAGGTAAAAGCCCAGGTCTCCTTTTATAAATATGGCAGGCAGCAAAAACCTGTAGGAGGGTTCCTGCATCTCTCAATATTACATTTGCACTGAGAGGTGGACATGCTGAGTGGGAATTTATATCTGCTGCGAGGGTGCAAATTGCTTCGGTTTGTTAGCTTATTTGATGCAAAACTGAAGCCTTACTGTCATGGGAAGAAATAAATGGAAATTAGATCAACTAGACAGCACCTGACAATTATAGACTTTTTAAATCCTTCTTTTTCACATTAAAATCATTCAGGTTTTACAACTATATAGCGGTGCAGAAACGTCTTATTTACAAAATAATTAAAAGATGTCCACAAGAGGAGACTTGTCCATCCAGCGTTATGTCTTGGAGCCAGAGTTTGACCCAGAGTCACAGGAGAAAGAAGATGACGTAATTGGGAAGTCCAGACCTTATTTTAAAGTTCCATCGCAAATATTGTGATGTAAGTCCTGATGCATCTCAGTAATTCAAGTAAAAAAATCAAAAAGAAAAAAAAATTGTATAGGTCTTCTGGACGTTGTATGTCCCAACACAGACGAGCTACGTCTAATGGCCAGGACTCTGCAGTTTTCACTCATTTACAGGCCAGCGGTCACTCTTTCAGAGATGAGGATGTTCTCATTCTTGATAGAGAGGAACGTTGGTTTGAGAGAGGAGTAAAAGAAGCCATTTTTGTGAAGAAAGACCGTCCATCATTAAACAGAGGTGGAGGCCTCCGTTTTCAGTTGTCCCCCTCCTACAGCGCGGCTATTGCCAGTATCACTCCACCCCCTGTTAACAATAGGTGTTAATTAGGTGTCGATAGCCATGTGATGTATCAGTCACATGGAGGCAGTGCTTAAAAGCCTGAATTTTGCCTGAAACTCTCAGACTGAAGAAGTMTCTTGGAGGAGAGACGAAACGTTTCATTAGAGAAGAACCCGTCCAGAAGACCTATACAATTTTTTTTCTTTTTGATTGTGATGTAAGAGTTCAATAAAGCTTATAGAAAATAAAGAAAACTGAACAGGTTGAAAAATATGACTCCAACA